ATATATATATAGAGAGAGAGAGAGAGAGAGAGAGAGAGAGAGAGAGAGAGAGGGAGAGAGAGAGAGAGAAAGTAAAGTTGTTCCCGCTTCCGATCCGGACATTAGGGATTGCCTTGTTAGTGAGACAACTTCCTGGGCCTTAAGTATAATGTGGCAGGATGTTGCTTTCAAATCCCTTGAAAGTTAAAGTAAAAATGAAAAAAATGGTGAAATGGTATGGGTTTAACGCCCCTTTCAACACTATTAGGTTAGTGAAGGGGCGGGACCTCCCAGTTTGACGTCCGTCTCCGACAGCACCGAGCCAAGTGGGAAGTTCGTGTAAAGTGCCTTTCCCAAAGACACAACGTCGGACTGAGATGAGGCTCGAACCCCCGAACCCGCAATCTCACGATTATGAGTCTGGTAGCCTAACCACTAGGCTACTGACGCCACTAAGTTAAAGTAAAGTAACATATCATCAGGCAGACTTTAACAAGGAAAACGTAAGAAGGGGAGACCAAAGTTGACATGGAGGCGAGCGGTACAAGCGGAAATTGAAAAAGCGGGGACCTCATGGAAACAGATAGAAAAGGATGCTCAGGACAGGCTTCGCTGGAGCAATGCTGTTGATGGCCTGTGCTCCACTGGGAGTTAAAAAGGGCGCGCAGAGAGAGAGAGAGAGAGAGAGAGAGAGAGAGAGAGAGAGAGAGAGAGAGAGAGTAAAGTTGTTTCCACATCCGATCCTGACATTGGGGATTGCCTTGTTACTGAGACAACTTCCTGGGCCTTCGGCATATTGTGGTAGGGGTACCCATTACTGCTGGGTGGGCAGGAGAGGGTGAAATCCCTTTAGCTGCGAGCATTTCGCTCTTGGCAGCGCAATGCCTCCCTCAAGTAACCACATGCCCTTATCATCTGGTCAACACCAGAGTAGAGCAGGCTCTGTAAGTCTGTAGGTGTGTACAAGAGCCTGCGTCGAAGAACTGCCAGGTTTGAGCAGTGAAGGAGAAGATGTTCAACGGTCTCCTCGTGGTAGTCTGCGCTTCTCTTTACTCAAACTTATGCTTCTTTCCTGAACTGAATGATCGTGTTTTTGTGTCTCTGTGTTTCTCTTCATCATCATCCGGTGCCTTGCCGACTGGCATGGGCGATCATGGACCTCCACTTCACTCTGTCTTGCGTTGCAGCGATGGTGTCTGTCATTCTTGCTGTTCCCAGCCATGGTGTCTGCCTCTGCCTCTCTTTCCATCAAACTTGCCTTTTGTTACAATATTCTTCAATGCTTCTTTCCGCATTGTGTGTCCGAAGAAATTAGCCTGTCGCTTTCTTATATTCGTCAAAAGGTATCTTCTACAATTTGCTTCAACCAAGACTTCTTCATTTGTTTTTCTAGCTGTCCATGGGATACGCAGCATGCGTCTTATGAACCACAACTCTGTTGCCACAATTGTTCTTTCCAGCTGTTTATTGATTGTCCATGTTCGCACCCGTATAATAGGATTGTAACTTTTCAGTACTCTTTTTCTCGTTTCCAGTGACAGATTGATGGTTGTGGATATCTGTTTCGTTTTGTGGAAGGTTGATTTTGCTTGGCAAAAGCGGCTTTTATTTTCGGTGTGACATCTCCCATCTGATGATATAATGTTCCCCAAATAGTGTTTCTCTTACCTTTACTCAAACTCATCCTTGCTTTTCTCTTCCACTATATTACCTTTATTGTGTCTGTGTACCTCTCTTCTTTACTCAACCTCACAACCCCCCCCCTCTCCCCCTTCTTCTCCTGTCCCAGTACCATTTGGACCCCCAAAACGATGAACCGTTATTGTGTCTCTGAGCGTCTCGTCTCCTTTACTGCTGCACTCAAACTCTATCTCATGCTTCGCCCCAGCACTACATTATGACCGTTTTTGCGTCTTTGTGTTTCTCTTCTTTACTCAACCCCCTCCCCCCTCATCTGTTCCTGCACCGGTTGGATCCGCTAAATAATAA